TGAATTGGGACAATTCATTGAAATTCGCATTTTAGCCTACTTACGAGTAGCAAACTTCAAACCATTTTCCAAACAAACGGATATGCGATACTTGGTTCCAAATTAGGCGATCTAGTCCATACTTGTTTGTTGTGCGCATCACATAGTGAGATTAGCTAATTAATGTGTTTTCAAAAACAAGATATCATGCTTAGTACAGGCCGATCTTTGATCGGGCGAGCGGGGGTGCTCATTAAATGACCTTCCCCAATCGTACCCAAGTTCCCGAGCCGAGGCAACTGTGGTGATGACAGACACGTGGCCTTAGGCATGAGTCAAGGTTTCCTAAATTCTCCCAAAATAAAATATTTAGGTGGCGACTCTGTATCTGGCAAAGTAGTCCATGTTTGGCATTTCTTTACAAAAATAAGTTTTCCAAAACGATTTGTCGGATTTGGACTCTTTGATGATCTATCAACCTCACATCGCACATTGTGAGATCAGATTAAGAACCGTGACATTTGAGTTCGAACTGTAGAGTGAAGCCCAAGCGCGCGCCTACAGAAAGTCTATTAGTATTTTAATAATAATTGATCTTTTATAAACTTGTTACTATGATTATAGATAGGGTCTTGTTCTCTCCTTATTATTCCTTCTCTTCTTTCTCCAAGTTTTTCCTTGGCTTAGAGAAATTGATAGTGCAAAGCAAAAATATGAATTTGCACTCGCACTGGCAAAAAAGCTAGTAAATGAAGAGAGTGATTGAAATCATTATTCACATACAAACCAATTGTTCACGCAACGGAGAATGGCATCATTGAGTTGGTTAAGGAGATTTTGATAAATTTCCCTTATGCCGCATATAGCTTTGACAAGAATGGAAAGAACATCCTGCACATAGTCGTTGAGCAGAAAGACAGAATTCTATATGACTACTTGAAGAAAAATGTTGATCACGAGGATAAGATGTTGTCAGATGTTGATAATAATGGGAACACTGTATTGCATCTGGCGGCCAACTTGGGAACCAGTCCTAAAATTGTTCCTAGACACTTAAACCAGATGACGTGGGATGCATGTTGGTTTAAGGTACGATGAAATTTATTTAGTTTAGGAAAACAATATTTGTTACCAAATAAATTTCATCGCTTATTATTATTATTAGGCAAACTCTCTATTATAATTTTTTTGTTTCTAAAAGGTATCGAGCTCTTAAGAGTATCGCTTGCACATGCAGTCCCTTATTCAACACGAACTATATAACTTTTCAATAATGCACACCCTATAGTACCCTAGCAAATCGACACCAATAATAAGAAACCAAATCCTTTGTAGCTTTTTGTTTTGTCTCTCTGTCCGAAAGCCCCTCTAATATATAGGATTAGAGTCAAAGAGAGATAAATCATATGGTAGAGAAAAAATTTAGGAGGGGACAAAAGAAAGTGAGATAAGAGGCTCCTTAGCCCAATAATAATAATGAGAAAATCTTAGTTGTTGTATGAGAACACTTCTTAGTAACTCATTGTTCAACAATTCAACTGTTGAAAAGGTTAAGGTCATCATAATTAGACATGTTACTGGAGAGAAGCCAACCCCTAGTAGTATAATGGAAAAATTGCATCCTTGGGCCCTAACCAAAACTCCACACTAATATATATTCGGTTTACAACCATTGTACCCTAGCAAATCAATACCAACAACAAAGAGCCATATCCTATGTTCCATTGTCCTTTGTAACTTTGTCCCCAAAGCCCCTCATTGATCATGATTAAAGTTAAAGAGATATATTGTATGGTAGAGAAAATGTTTGGAACGAAGGAACAAAAGAGAGTATGATATATGATCCTCCGTCCCATACTAAGAACAAGAAAGTACTAGTTGTAGCATGGGAACAACGTCTTCCCAGTAACTTTATGTTCAATTGTAAGAGTAGTTGGGGCTCATCACAATTGCACATGTTACTGGAGAGAAACTAGCCCTGAGTAATATAATGAAGAAATTGCATCCTTAAGTCGTAAAACTTTAAGCTAACATATATTCGACTTGTTCTTTATTCTTTTTTTCCACAGCACGTGTGGGATGACTCTCCTCCACACTTTTTGTACCATGAAAACTCTAATGGAATGACAGCAAAAGAACTATTTGAAGGAAACCACATAGACCTACGAGACAAGGTTGAGAAAGCTTTCAAAGATATGAACAACGGACTCATGCTTGTTGCCGCTTTCATTGGCACACTCAATTATGCGACACTCAGCACCCTTCCTGGAGGTTATGATCAAGAACACACAAGTAAAACCTATGGCGAGCCCCGTTCTTGTTATCCGTAAGGATTCACATGATGATACTATGAAGTTCTTGTGGAACATAGGTATTGTTCTATTTTCTTCCCTATTCGCCTTGGTTGCCATGCTTTCACTTTAGTTGTCACGGTTTCGTAGCAACGAGTTCCATATAGCATTGCCATTAAGATATATTGTTGCTACAACTACCCTAGCTTGCACCACAATCTTCACTATCACAGGATGTTTGAAAGCCTATTTTCTTGATCGCACAGATTTTAATGTAGATACTTATGTGTGGTCTTTAGTATTATGATGGCCCTAAGTTATGTAGACGCATTATACCTGACCTTTTATTACATGTTCTTTGTGATTGGTTCACTTTCCTATAAAAGTCGGGAAAAGTATAATATGTCTACTTAATTTGTATATATATGCAAGAATATCTAAATGTGGCTATCTTAAATTTGTGACACAATGACTTGTTAGTTGCTCCAGCCCACATGAAGGAGTAGTTAAAGGTTGGCTGGTTTGCTCCAAGTCAAGAAGTAGGAGGGGAGATGGCAGGTGGCAGCCAACCCAATAACTCATGTTTTTTGACTTTGTTTCCTTCTCTTTTCTATATAAATTGAGGTGAGGAAGAAGGGAATAAACATAGAAAAACATAGAGTGTGTGTTTGAGTGAGAGTGTTATAGAGAGAGAGAGAGAGAGAGAGAGAGAGAGAGAGAGAGAGAGAGTGTGTGTGAGGTGTGAGTACTGTAAATCCCTTCGAGAAAATTCTATAGTGGATATCTCTCTCGTGGATGTAGACAATTGCCGAACCACGTAAATATATTGTGTCTTTTCTGTGTGTGATTGATTTATGGGTGTGTCTTAATCCTAAAAAGTGGTATCAGAGCCACGTTGGTCGATTTTTAGAAAAACAGAGCGTGTTTTTTCAGAATTGCACATAAATGGAGTTGCTCAAAATTCACTTTTGAGCATAATGGGAGGAAGCTCTTAATGAGAGGAGTCCAAAACTGCCAAGCCGAGCCCTAGAAAAGCTTCCACGCGCTCTCACGCGTCACCTAAAGAAAGCGCGTGAGTCTCAGTCTCAGATACACGCCACACGCACTATTGACGGCACCATCGCGTCATACCAATCTTAGGCTCACGCCCGACGCATGATGGAAGGAAAAATGAGAGTGGTGTGCGCATGTTTGTGACGTCACCGCCACGTCACACACCATTTGGAAGTTACATCAGTGCCACGTCACTGCTACGTCATCATCACATAACTGCTACGTGTTAGCCACATCATCGCTACATGTCATCCACGTCAGGTCCACGTGTCAGCCACGTCATCAGGTCGGCTAACCAGTTAACCCGCCGGTTTGACATGACCCGATCCAGAGGTAGAGGGTTATCTTGTGTTATGTGGCTACAGTACATCCGCTGATTTGAACCGTTGAATATATTTTGGCTAGATCTGAGCCATTTGAAGTCCGATTTTGGAGAGCCAATAGTGGTTTCCAACTATTTGAAGTATTCTGGAGAGATCCATATGGTCAAATTTTTGAATCAGAGTTTCTGTAAAAAGTAAGAAAACAATGGAGGAATTCACTTCAACTTCAGGATCCATGATTAAATTGATTCCTTCCAATTATGCAATCTGGAAGCCGTGAATGAAAGACATCCTATATTATAAAGACCTGTTTGACCTTATTGCTCTAAAAGGGGTTAAACCGGAAGAAGTTAAGGATGAAAACTGGATAAAGATGAACCGGAAGACTGTCGGTTATATCAGACAATGGATAGACCACAGTGTGTTTCACTATGTGACCCAGGAGACAGATGCATATGTCCTTTGGACAATGTTAGGAGGAATGTACCAGTTAAAGACCACCCAAAATAAAGACTTGGTGATGAGAAGGCTTGTAAATATGAAGTTGAGGAATGGTGTGTTTGTCGCCGGGCACACCAGTGAATTCAAGAATCTGGTGAATTAACTTATAACCGTCAAGATGCCCTTGGATGATGAAATGCAAGCCGTTCTACTGCTCAGTTCTTTACCGGACAGTTAGGAGACGTTGGTAGTTTCTCTCAGCAACTCTAAGCTGACCATGAAATTATGAAAGATGGTTTATATATTCGTTGAGCCTCGTGATGGGGCCCTAAAAATGTTCCTTTCGCTAGCTATATGAGCTTTGGTTTGCTTCCTTAAGATGGGATTGCAAAAGTATAAAATTATGAAAGATTTGGATAAAATAACTCCCTCTTTCTTCTCTGTCTTATTGTTTTGGCCGGTGTGTTTGGGGTCTCCTCACCCCTACATATATGAATGCTTTTTCTTAATATTCACCTTAAAAGGCTTGCATAGCTACATTAAATTGATTGCAGCAATGTAGAATATTATATGGTCAGAGAGCAAAACCTTTCCCTCTTTTCACTAATTTTTATTGGCCACTTCTCCCTTTAAATATTTTAAAATTTCAGTTAGCAATCACAGTCTAAATATGAGTCAAGTCTCAATTATTGCTATCTTATTTCTCAATATTCAACAACGGCAAGATTTGCGATTCTTTATTTGGTAAATTCTAATGTATTATCCTCTGATGCAAGTTGGGTGATGTTTTTTCTTGGGTCCATCTGTCTAAGGCAGAGTTTGGCTTTCTTTCTGGTAAAATTTCAAAGTTAGTGTCTATTCTAGTTTTTTTATTTTATTCTTTCTTTGAATGGATTCGATCACATCTTTTATTTATTTATCCCCTGAATGATCTTTGCTTGGGTCTGCTATTATCCTGTAATCTTTATTTCTTTAGTGTGGGTTTTCCTCTTTTTAATTGCTTTCTCATCTTTCCTTCTTGTGTCAGCTTGTTTGTCTATGTTTCTTAACAAAAACTCAGAAAAGGGGAAAAATGAAGAAGAAAGGATCTTGTTGTATTTGAGTTTGTTATTAGGAATATTTTCTATTTTGTTAGTTCTGCTAAATTTATTGAGATGAGAATGTGTTTGTATGGCAACATTCAGACATTGGTTTGCAGAGCTTTGTGATCATTATAACCTAATTGCTGCTGTCGATTATAGGGTCATTTGCTGAAGAAGATATTGCAAGACAAGGCATAACTGCACCATCAATTGCAGGAAATGCAACTGCAAGCAGAGGACTGGAGGTTGCAGTTGCTAATCTTCAGGAATACTGCAATGGTATGTCACATTTTTTTAAAAAAAAAAATTATTGCGTGTGTGTAGGAGAGGGTTCAAGAACATCGTGGGAAAATTCGAAGATCTTCGAAGATCCTTGAAGAACAACCTCAAATTCTCTAGAAGATGATGAGAGGCTTAGATTCTTCAATAGTCTCAACTTAAGAACGCAAGAGTAAAGGAGATGATGGAGATTAGAGATTGGGTGAAGAAGAAGGCAAAGTAGCTAGAAAGAGAATAATGGCAAGGCTCTCCCATGGATCTCCCACTTTCACTCTCAAGGTTGATAATGGAGATGGGAAATTAGTTCTTTCCCAAGAGTCATCTCTCCAAAAATTCATCCATTGTAAAGTTATGGGTGGGTGCTATTTATAGGCACCTCATGATGTAGAATGGAGCGCATGTGCAAAGCACATGGGGAATATTCTCTCTAACCACCTTGTCCGAGGAGGTGACCTCTCCGAGGATGAGGAAAACCCCGAAAAGGAGATCAACCTCTCGGCAAACCCTTCTTCTTAGCCACACCTAACCAATGATCCCCGATCATCCCAAAGGGTCAGGGGTAGTCCCAGAGGACGTCCTGCCGCATAAGGGTCAGGCGTAGTTCAAGAGAACGCCCTGCCGCAAATATTGTCAAGTCTCAGGGACCCCTTAGATTGTGCCACCTCGACCCGGGTATAGGCTAGTTTAACCGAAGAGCAAATTTATCTCCACTCACCGTCCTCGGGATTGGGCCCTTTGTTTGAACTCCATTACGCCCATGGTTCTGGTGCGTAGATCCCGGAAAGCACCGAGCCCGCAAGTGTTCTAGGACTCATTAACGGAGCGACTTCTAGATTGCGTATGAATCTGTTCAAAGTCAAGTGCTTCGGATCTCTAGGTTCGTGGATCCGAACCCTTTCGAGTCCGAGTGCCTCGGATCTCTAGGCTTGCTCAATACCCTTTCGAGTCCGAGCCCGAGTATGTTCGTGGATCTAAACCCTTTCAAGGCTTAGAGCAATTCAGCCCGTTTGATGGCGATAAATCCGGGCCCACCGATCTTGGACTTGCGATAAATTCGAGCCCGCCAACCTTAGACTATTGGGCCTAATTAATTTAGTGGACTCGAATTAGCTCCTCTTATAGTATGTCAAGATGCATGAAAATGTAGAATTACCTAATGAAGAATAGTTAAATCATAGACTGTCCTGTTATAAGAAGCTGTAATTTTTCCAGGCAGAAAAAAATCATTAAAATAAATAATTACATCCAATGAGATCAAGAGAAATTGAAAGAACATCCATAATAATAACTATCAATAATTTATGGTTTAAAATGTAGGAATCTTTCCTTGCAATAGCTAATGAGGCTCAAGAGTTCTTTTCAAGTGATGTGTGTGTGTGTGTGTGTAGCTGATGCTGTGCAAACACTAGACAAGCAGGTGGTTCCAAGTTGATACTTTGTATGCAAATGTCATCTTAATATTCATTCTAGAGTTAAGGGGGAAGTCGTGGTGTTTGCTATTGTCCAATTGATGTTGCTTAGAATGAGATGGGTTTTCACCTAGAAAGAAAATAAAAAGGGGGGTTGGGGGGTTCACGGGGAGGAAAGGTCAGGAAAAGTATAACTATTATGTAGAAAGCAGCCCCTCTTGTGCCCTTGGTGCATTTGGAAGGACAAGAACCATATATCGTTTGGTGGAATGGAGGGTTGAATGAGAGCACGTATTTATAGGCTCAAAGAATGGGGTTTTTGTTTTGGAAACCCTCCTCAATCAAATATTTAATTGATTTTAATGTCCAAAAATGATAGAAGTTTGTCTCTTTATGGAAATTATTTGATTTTGAATTTGATTTTAGATACTCCACAATTTCTTATTTATTGGGGGATTTTGACATGTGTTGTTGTGGGACCCTCATCTTTGGGTTGACCTAACCACTTGATCCAATTGTCAAAATGGATTGATCATTTGATTTAGGCATGACTCATTATTTGAATAGGTCAACTTTCATGATTTTGGTGGGACCTCCATTGCTTTGAATAATTTGATCACCTTGACTTTGGTCAATCAAAATAATTTAATTTTTCTTAATAATCTGGACGGTGATTAAACCATCTCTTAATTTTGGTATCTACACTTGGTAAGTTAGAGTGCACTACAACAAAAAGCACAAATGGCGACTAAAAAAAAAATTTTCATCGCTGAAAGTAGCACTTTCGGTGACTAAAATGGAATTAGTAGCCAAAAGTGAAGACTTTTGGCGACTAAAACAATTTAGTAGCCAAATGTATAGTTATTTGCGACTAAAAATCAATTTAGTCGCCGATTATATGGGTTTTAGCAACTAAAGGTTTTTTAGTAGCCCAAAGTGACGATTTTTGGCGACTAAAATAATTTAGTAGCCAAAAGTGACGGTTTTGGCGACTAAAAAACAGTTTGGTCGCCAATTATACGTGTTTTGGCGACTAAAAACAGTTTGGTCCCTGAAAGTGAAGCTTTTTGGCTACTAAAAAAAATTTAGTAGCTAAAAACAAGAAAATGGCGACTAAAATTCAGTTTAGTAGCCAAAATGGGACGTTTTTGGCGACTAAAAACAGGTTTAGTCGCCAAAACTGGTTTTTTTTAGGCAGAACTTATTTTTTTAGCGACTAAAAAATAATTAGTAGCCCAAAATTATAGAATTGGCGACTAAATAACGGATTTAGTCGCCAAAAGTGGCCTTATTTTTTTTTAGTAAATAATTTATTTTTTACATAAATTATATTAAATAAAAATAATTATTTTTATATATATAGTTTTGTATTAATACCGGTCAATATATTATATAAATAATATATGTTGCATTTATATTCATGTGATGTTGTACTGGCATAGTGGGGAGAGTGTGTTGCTAAGGTTTAGAATGTGGGAGGTTAGTGGTTCGAAACTTGGCAACAGCAGACTGTAATTTTTTTTTTTCCTGAAACATGCTTTTGGTGACTAAAATGTGTTGTCGCCAAAAGATTGACTATTGGCGACGAAAAGCTTAGTCGGCAAATGAATAAATAATAAAAATAATAATTCACTATTGGCGACTAAAAGATTAGTCGCTAAATGTATAATTTTCAAAAATGCAATTGACTATTGGCGACAAAAGCTTTGGTCGCTGAAGACCTGCTTTTTGCCGACTAAAACATTTTTAGTCGCCAATACCTCCGGCGACCACGTATTCGCGACAAAACCGGCGACTAAAATATTTAGTCGGGGAAAGTGAAAAGTCAACTTTTGGCGACTAAAAAATGACTTTTGGCGACTAAAAGTTTAGTCGCCAAAGGTGCTTTTTCTTGTAGTGGTGTTTGGTTTTGTTATTTTTTGAGTGGTTGTTATTGATATTTTAAGCTATTATTTGATATGGTCTAAATATTTATGGTTGTTATAATTTGTTGTAGTGTGGTGAATCAATTAAGTGATTAAATTGCATGACTTGCTTATCTACTAGAGAAATGTATATCACTTTCAGTTATGATTATCTTCACTCTGGCACTTTGTACTAGTTTATTTTTTAAATATTATTTATTAATTGTAAATATATAATTACTTAAGTAGTTAAATCTTGATTTACAGGTGGGAGATATAGTTGTTTTAAAAAGTATCATTAGGCTAACAAAAACAGTTGTAAACGGAATACTTAAAAGCACAGACGCATCTAAAGAAGTAGAAGGGAAACACTTAGGACCTGACTATTGGGAGGTACATGTTCAAGTGCCAATCAAACCTAATGAGAGCTTAATTCAATCATATGGACTTGTCAAAACAGTTGGACAAGCTATTGGAACTCATGTTGCTTGGCCTGCTCCATTTGTGGTATATTTCTTTCGTAAATAATAATTTCATTAACAAATTTATATTAACTTAATACAGTTTCAATTACTTTTACAAGTTTATCTTTTGGATGCAGATTTTGCAAGTTATGGATGTTAATCGAGAATATTTATACAAGTCAGGATGATAATTTGGGAACTAATCAGTGTGTTTGGTTTGAGTTTTTTGGATTAAGTTTTTTGAAAATTGAGTTTTTTATTTTTCGTGTTTTTTTGTTTTTAGTGAATATTTTTAAAATTTTAAGCATTTTTTTTTTTACTTTTTTAGATGCACCTTATTTAGATGTATCTAAAAAGTAAAAAATTTGTGAAAAAATATTTTAAAAAATTAATAAATACATAAAAATACAAAAAATGTACTGAATTCTCGTATTTTTTTTGTACTTTTGGTATTTAGTAAATTTTGAAAAGGTTTTTTTTCACAATTTTTTTACTTTTTAGGTATATTTATGTTAGGTATATCTAAAAATTAAAAAAAAAAATTGCTTAAAATATTTAAAAAATTCAGTAAAAACAAAAAAACACGGAAAATAAGAAAGTAGAATTTTCTGAAAACTATTTTCAGAAAAACAAAACCAAACAAGCTGAATTTTGTTTTGATAATTTGTCTCTCTGGAAGATGGATTTGACTGGCTTTTCAGAACTTATGGTTGGAATAATTTTCTTTTAATTTTTTTTTTTGGCTTTAACTTTGTTAGTGTGGTAGAATATTTTATAATTTTGGCAACCGATTTTTATTGCAATATAAATAAATTTATATTTCAATAATAAATAATTGATTGTGATTTGAATTTTTTTGTTTTTGTTTTTGATGTGATGATCCTATGGTGGTAAAATTTGTTTATTATTATAAAAATATTACAAGATGAATGGATGCCAAATTAATATAGGATGTGACAATTAATATTCATTTGTTTATAAAATCGGTTCAATTTTTACCGACATTTACGCATGCTTAGTTGTAGTTTTTAGAAGTGTCAATGAAAAGAACATATGAGTCACATTTTGTAGTAGTGGCAGTAGCTTTGCAAAGTGTCGCTAAAATAAGTTTCGATGTCACTTATATCCATTTAATGACACAAACAAATTGAATTTAGTAGCATTTATAAAGTTGTTATAAATATTAATTGTAAGATAACAAGTGTCATTAAAATTCCATATAGTGGCATTTTTTAGATTGCAAGTCTTTTTTAATGGCACTTGAAAACGTCATGAATAGTGTATATTATGACATTAAAGTGTCACTAAAAGTGTGTAGCCTTGATGGTGTAATGACACTTAAAAGTGTTACTAAAGTGCCACTAACTCTTTTTTTAATAGCGCTTGATAGTGTCACAAATAGTATCTATCATGACATCAAAATGTCATTGAAAGTTTTTAGCCATGATGGTATAGTGGCACTTGCAAGTATCTATCGTGACACTAGTATCTACTGTGACATAGGTATAAATGGCACTTGTTCAAAACGCCATAAAACTAAAAAATGTCACTGAAAGAGTAGTTCAGTGACACTTTCAAGTGCCACTAAACTAAGAAAATATTGTAATGAATGTAGGCCCATCTTTACGCCCCTCTTTCCCAAAGAAAAACCAAAAGAGAAACCAGTTTGCACAATGTCTATACATATACATGTATATGTATGTATATGTGAGAAATGTTTTCATTATATTCTATCATAGAGTAGAATTTGTGTTTCAATTTTTGTATGGGTTTCAAGAAAAATTCAATACCAATATCTGTTTAAAATGACCCTAAAAACAAAACTAAAAAAATTATTAATAAAATCTGGGTTTTAAATTTTCTTTTGGATTTCAATTTTTTTTTCTTTACAATACTAATCAACTTGTTTGGTTTGGTTCTTCATGATTCACTTTTCAAAAAATTAAAATTTTTTGTTTTTCATGTTTTTTTTGTTTTTATTGAATTTTTTTAATATTCTAAGCAATTTTTTTTAATTTTTAGATACACCTAACATAAATATACTTAAAAAGTATAATATTTGTGAAAAAATATTTAGAAAATTCACTAAATATCAAAAATATAAAAAAAAATACGAGAATTCAGTATATTTTTCGTATCCTTGTGTATTTATTATTTTTTAAAATATTTTTTTTACGAATATTTCACTTTTTAGATACATCTAAGGTACATCTAAAAAAAGTAAAAAAATTACTTAAAATTTTTATTCACTAAAAACAAAAAAAAAATACGAAAACTAAAAAACTCAATTTCTAGAAAATTGAATCTAGAACAGTGAATTAACAAGGATAAAACAGACCTGAAAAAGAAAAAAAAAAATTAAATACTGGGGAAAAAAAATTATATGTCAAAGATTATGTTCTTGGTTGATGCATTGTATGAGATGGGATAGCCCAAGAAGACTGGAGGGAAAAAAAAAAAAATTAAATACAAAGAAGAAGAAGAAGAAGAAGAAGAAGAAGTGAAGATTGGTAGATGCGTTGTATGAGATGGGGTAACTCAAGAAGACTGAAAAAGATAAAAAAAAAAAAAAAAGGAAGAGAAGAAGCAGCATTAGAAGAAGATCTCAAAAATGTTTGTCTTGCTAAAGAGAAGATGGATAGACTAATAAATTCACAGTAAATTTTTTGTAAATTACTGAATAAATTCTCAATAAATTATGAGTGAATTACTCAGTAAATTCTCATTAAATTACTTAGTAAATTCTGAGTAAATTACTCAGTAAATTTTCAGTAAATTCTTAGTAAATTACTCGGCAAATTACTCTGTAAATTCGTAGTAAATTCTTAATAAATAACTCGTTAAATTTTTAATAAATTCTTTGTAAATTATTCAGTAAATTATTGATAAATTCTCAGTAAATTACTCAATAAATTCTAAGTAAGTTATTCAAAAAAATTTCAATAAATTTTAAGAAAATTCTCAATAAATTCTCAATAAATTACTCAGTAAATAGCTCAATAAATTATCAGTAAATTCATGGTAAATAACTTCGTAAATTCTCAGTAAATTTTGTAAATTACTCAGTAAATTATCGATAAGTTCTTAGTAAATTACTTAACAAATTCTCAGTAAATTACTCAGTAAATTCTAAATAAACTCTCAGTAATTTACTAAGTAAATTCTCAGTAGCAACTCAATTAAAAAAAAAAATTATACTTTAAATCTCAAAGTATGTATGTAATGTGTATTATATTGATCACTAATATTTAAACCATATCAACCTAATTTTTAAAATTATATTAATGTCTATTTCATTAATCATACCATACCCCTATGCTAAATCATAATAAGCGAGTGGAATCTAGCATTAGACTAGTAGCATTGTTTATATTATGGGTAAATCTTTACACATACAAGACAAGAATTGTGAAAATAAAATGATGCATTATTTTTTAAAGTACTTGCAATCATATGTAAACTGTCGATGAACAGAAATCCAGCGAAGTATCTAGAGCAATCGAACCATGTAAGTCAAATCCTTATCCTGAATTCATTATCAGTTGGTAATAACTTGGAATAATAGTTTGTTATAATTTATTCCACATCCTACTGATTTGGTTTGGTTTATAAAGTGGACATTGTCAATTAAATAATTAAATAGTTAAGGAGCATATAACTAGGTAAGACCGTTTTATATTGTTGTTATCGTTATATTTAAGAAAGATACTCTTTTATAATTTTGTCCGATAACAAAATATACCCAGGAGGATATTACTAGGTGTCTTCGTTGACAACAATGTAGTTACAACTGTTCTTCCACCGAAACAAACATTGAGAAAAAAACAAAAATAGTATATTCAGTAACATCCATGCATTAGTATATTTATATGAATCTGGAAACTCAAATTCCATTTCTCATCATCTCACTTGAGTGTTATCCTCAATTCCACATCGTGCTTTGTCATCTCCTAAATAATTCATCTTTTTATCTTTTTTTCATCACATCGCCTCTTTAATTTCTTGTACATATTTTTATAAAAAATCAAAAAGTATACTTATTTAAATCGTCCCAAACAACCCCCCGAAATGGCAAAAGTGGACTCTGAAGGGTGGTTTAACGGTGGTTGCGATGAAGAAGGGTATGATGCTGTTGTAGTGGGGTCTGGATATGGCGGCTCTGTGGCTGCTTGTCGGATGTCAATGGCCGGAATAAAGGTGTGTTTGATGGAGAAAGGCCGGCAATGGCAAGCTCATGACTTCCCAACCGACTTTTTCAAGTTTATGTCCGCCGTGTGGATGGAAAACACCAACTTGGGTTTCACTTTTGGTCCCAAAGATGCTTTATTTCAGGTCATTCTCTGTGTGTCGATTTTGACGTGCACATAAATTATATAAATAATGAAACCAAAAACTAAAAACAAAAATAGCCAGAATTTTATGAGATTTATAGGTGACCCACTTCTTGAAAATTTTCTCAGCATTTATGGGATTGTTGGGTTTGTATACTAAGATAAAATTTTTCAAATTTTGTTTAGATTAATTTTTTTAAAAAAAACTTCAATATCAGTTTCAATTTCTTACACATCAATCAATCTTTTTTTTTTTTTTTCACACACATCTACTCAACTATAACGAAATATTAAATCATTTCAAACTCCTAAGCTCTAAAACTGTTTTTAAAATATACAATCAAACAAACCAACAAAATTTCTAAATTCTCTCTCCAAATTTTTTTTAAAAAAATTTATCTCAAAACACAAACTAAACACAATATTTTATGTGTTTGATTTTATATTTAAAATTTTTGTGTTTTTAATTATTACACTAATTTGAAGCAACAATACTGCAAATAGAACTGTGTAAAATACCGTTCAATCTACTAAATCCAGATCAATATGCATCAATTCGCACCGCTTTAACCGCTAACTGCAGTTTAAACTTTTAATTTATAATCTGCCAACTGAATTGAACCACTCTGCTCTGCTATAGTTATTATATATATATATATTTTTTAACCTCCGATGAAATATCAATGTAAAAATGAATGTGAAAGAGAGATTTAAGGTATGGAATTTATTATAAATTAATGGTTATATATATAAAACATATTATGTAAAATAATTTGTATTATATATTTAAAAAATATTATACAAATTAGTATTATATATTATACAAATGTTATATATTATGTAAATATATGATAATTAATTAAAATATTTTTCAATCTGTCAATCCGTTAAAAATCGCTCAAATCATAATTTATCAATTTACAAAATCATCAATCCACTATTCAATTTATAATTTCACGTTCAAACTGTCCGAAACCGGCCGTGCACGCTCCTAACTGCAAACAGATTGCGCAATCACATACACTCACTTATCTGAGTTGAGATTCTCTCCTTGTGCTCACTCCTTGCCTTCCAACTTGTAATGGTAGAGATATACTTTGATTTGATTCAATGGTCCAAATTTGAATACGAAAAGCAAATTTGAATTTATTTTATTATTTTTAAATAGTCAAATCTGAATCATTAGATCAACTCAAAATATATCTCTACCATTGTAAGTAAGAATACAAGGAGAGCGCTCGAGGAGAAGATCTTAACTCCACTTATCTTTGTATGTCAGGTCCAAGATGTAAATGTGTGTTTTGTACTTCTTATTCTTAGCATTCTTATTTTTATCTTTTATATATATTTTTTACATTTGATATAAGGACGCAATTTGAACGGGTTCAGTCAAATTGAGAGGTTATTTAAATTTATTTCAAATTGTGTTAAGATCTGTTTAGACTCAAATTGTAACTTGAAATTGCCTATTCAAACGTAACTCGAGTTATTCAAATTGCACATAAATTTTAATTTTTTTCAGATAAATTATTAAATTGTTAAAATTAGATTTAATTTATATTTGTTTAGAAAATCATTAATAAGATGAAAATAAATAATTTATATAATGTAAAAAAGATATCGCTATGGTACTTTTTATAATTTATGAGTGAAAATAAAAAAGATAAGATTTTGTATTATGTTACTTGTATTTAATATGATTTAACAATATAAATTATTTTAATATCATCTAATAATTAATAATTTATATATATTAAATATTTTAATATTTATATATATATAATTCGAGTTCAAGTTGTTTAATATTTTTACTGAAGCCGGTCTAATTTAACTCGGGACTTTTAAATTTTTACTTAAATCCATATCAAATTTAAATATCTTCCAAATTCTAAAAAAAATTCAAGTTAGGCTCGAGTTGTTCAAATTAAATTCGCTCAAATTATAGTCTTAATTTGATACAATATAAATTAAGAAAGTGAATAAAACATATTTTTCATCACCAATATGATATAAGGGTTTTACTACCATCACCACCACTGCAATTGCTACCAATCACCAACTCTATCATCACCACAGCGACTGGTAGCATCATTATCAATTTTAGGGTCAAACCGAGCATTATTTAATTTTATTTTTATTTTTTTTGGAAAAAGGGTAAAAGATGTGACAAACGAAGCTGAGAAATGGAACTTGAAATCAGTAAGCATATGTTAGACTCAATGACTAAAGTAGAGGATGCATGAACAAATATAAAGTTGGAATGCAAAACTATAAAATTGTACTTCCCTTAAATAACCAATATATTTATTGGAGGCGGATCCCTTTCGGTTGAGATTTTAGATTGTAGAGTGTTATTGAATTTTTGGGACTTATTATAAATTTCGTTTTGATAATTTAAACTATTTATTTTGTTAAGCAATTAATGTATTTCATACATATAAAAAAATATATCAATCCGATAATTGTAACTTATTCCATTTATTATATTTTTAATTTTTTTTAAAAAAAATTATACTTTTAAAAATAAATAATAAATTTTTTTGGTTAAATATATAATAAATTGAACAAGTTACAGTTATCAGATCGATTTAATTTTTTATATAGATGAAATACACAAAGTGTCCAACAAAATGAGTGGTTCATATTATCGAAACAAAAGCCGTGATAGTCCAAAATCTAGACTAGAGGAAATCCTCCTCCATATTTATTTCTTAGTAGATATAACAGAGCAATTCTAATATATATTTTAAAGAATATACCATATGAACCCTTAATTATGTTATTTTCTTAACCAATTTTTTATTTAGTTATAAATTATAATATTATTTTTAGCTGTAACTCATGAATGCAGGAGTGATGATACCGGCCCCAATCCGCGCCAGAAGGAATCCAAAATGGCCAAAAGAATGGGAAAAAGATTGGGAGATGTGTGAAGCTTCTGCTTCATCCATGCTGAGAATACAGAGTGTTCCCATCATGTATCCTAATGCCAAGATCATGAAGGGAATAGTTGAAGAAGATGGGTTCAAAGAAACCAGCAGTGACCCATTGAAGCTAAGTGTGAATTTTGATATAGAAGAACAGTCATCCAATTCATCAAAGTTTCAGGAGATGGGCAGCTGCTTAGCATGTGGAAATTGTCTTGCTGGTTGTCCTTATAATGCCAAGAATTCTACAGACAAAAATTATTTGGTTTCTTCAGTCCAGGTTTTTATCCTCTTATTCATTTTTTTTTTTAAAATGAGAGAGAGAGCGAGAGAGAGAGAGAGAGAGAGAGTAATGCCTTGTCATTTTCAATACATGTGAAAAACTAACTCCATATGATTAACTGCCATGATGCTTACCATCCACAAAATGAATCCAATTCTCCAATAGCGTTGTAAATCAAATGTTACATGAACACAGTGAATTGAATCAGTTGCAAGCTATGAAGCACAAGTATTTCAAAAATGTTGCGGTACTCATATTTGGTACTAATATGCATAATGATAGGGCTACCTCCATATCGGGTACTCAAAATACGTACCGGGTATATTTTACATATTTTTTGGCAATTGATACTCTGTAGGCACGGGATGGGTACATCGGGTGCACTAAGTTATGGGATATTGGTGAATATATATTTAATTTATTAGAGAGTTTTAATTTATTTGAAATTGCAAATCCTTTGCTTGATGTGCAGTGAAAGATTTATTATTCAATGATGAAGTTGATGGAAATGAAGATTGAAATTTCAAGCTTTCAAATTTTGCTTAGTTTGCTTTTGAAATATGAAATTTTGTTTTGTAATTTTTGCTATTTAAAGGCGTTAATATAGCTTATGGATTTTGCTTTGATATTGTTATTGTTTGAACAATGATTTCTCTTTTGATTTTAGAATTTCTCCTTTTAGTTTTTGTTAGAAATTAGGCGCCCATGTGGCATGACCTTTTGAACCTGAACCTTTTGAACCTTATCCATATAAGTTTAAATTTGAATTCAAAACTTATTTGGATAATCATTCCGGATATCTATATTTATCATATCAATAGATATGGATAGATGGATAGATTGATATATATGTGGTTATATATCAGATTATATGGTTAATCTATGAGATACGTATATCAGATATACGTTATGTGGTTTTTAGCCATAACCATTTTTCCCATACTCTCTCTCCGACTTTCTCCCATAAAACAATGATCAAGTCATTTTGTACTGTGACTTGTGTGGGTGATACTCATTTTGTAGTATCACTCCACTGCTGGGTTCGTTGTTCAGATTTTGGAAGCACGTGATTTACCCACGAGATTCTTCGCTACAAAATATGATTCTGATATTTTTTTCCGCTGTAATATAATACTTCAATTTACATTGGTATCAGAGCCTAATATGGGTATTTTCGTGCTTAGTTGTATGCGATAAAATATGTGTATAATTTAATACAAATATACATACATATTATTTGTATGAAAATTAGATTGAGAATGTGATACATCTCATTTTTATGTCCATTAAATGTTATTTTTGAGACTATAAATGTATTTATTGGGAAAAGTGGAGTCCGGCAGTACCAAAATTAGACCAGAAAACATCGTGGAAGGCGGCGCGTGTGCCTCACGCGCTATATAACGCCGCCCAGTGGTTCCACGCGCTTCGACGCGCTACCACGGGCTTCCACGCGCCACCACACGCTAGGCGCTCTTCCCACGCGCGCGCTGTCCGCGCCCTTCCCACGCGCGCGTTAGCTGCGCCACTTCGAACCGCGCCACGTGCGCAGCCACGCGCGAGCCGTGCGCTGAGCCGCTCGTCGAGCCGAGCCGCGCTGTTTTCCGCGCCGACTTGGCTGGTTTGACGGCTGGGGATAAGGGTCTGTTTGTTTTTTTTTAAATTCAAAATCTTGGATAAGTGAATGATACAATTAAAGGTCCGAAGGGAGCACAACCCATGTGTATGGAATTGGTACAACAGAAAGCCCGTATGAGTCATATGACCTATATACATCAACTAAAGAATCCAAACTCTCTAAAAAATACATTAAATTGTCTAGTGAAGGATTTACTGTTCTTGTTGTCACCCAACTACACAGAAAACTCAAAAACTGGCCTTTCAATTGATGAATAGACTCCTCAATGTTATCAAAAGAATGTCAATTCATCTCCTATGTACATTACATTAAGAAAAATACATGTCTTCTGATAAATCTCTCGTTTTCTGAAGGCTGCCTCTTGAGCAAGCATAACTATCTTGGGCTTTAGTATGGAAGGCTAGTACACAATTAGAAAAATTGAATAGTACCTTCAAAAGTGAACCTATAGCTACATAAGTTTATGAGCCTTTTCCATTGGAAAGTGGGTCAAAATGGAGATGCCTCTTGGGGCATGCTACAGTTTTGAAGAACTTTTTTTAAATCTTCTATGAGCTTAAAATTATGCTTAGTGTTGTTTGCTCTTTTGGGGAATAATATTATTGAATTGGTTTCTTCTGGGAACCTACCTTGGTTTCCACTGAACCCCTAGAGGTGTAGAAGAATGGCTTTGTATTCTTTTCTCCATCGATGAGACAAAGCTGGAAAAACAAATAAAATAAATTAAAAAAGAGGAAGAAGAAATTTTTTGTATTGGTAACCTATCTACAAGATAGTGCTTGTGTGTGTTGGCAGCTTTCATTTGTCCTTTCTCCATCTTGAATAAAATTTATTTTCTTTGTTGATTTTTTTGTTTTTCCTCCCTCTTGTTATGTGATTTGCTATAGTTGTGTTGTGTAGTCAAATAATTTGATATGTAAAAAAGATTATCCTGAGTAAACGTGGTGTCTATGTCAGTATTTTGAGATAACAAATACCCTTCGTTGTTTTTCCTTGAGTTCAGTGAAACCTGACAATCGGTTTGTAACAGAACTTACCGGAACAAGGTTGCCACTGCAAAGTTTGTACCATGGCCCATAGAGATAAGATTTTGTGAGCCTAATACTGCTACCAATCAAACTAAATCTCCTCCAAGGTTAGCCCTAGTTCTTTGTATCATTTGTTGACTTCTTTTTTCTAACGTCTTGGATATATAGGCTATTTTTAGGTGTACATGTATATGTCCACACATTTACACCTCATTTGAACACAATTATTTTTGTTGCAGTTTGAGGTATTGGTTTAGAGCAAAAGGAAAACTTTCAGATGACCAAGCTTTTTGCATAGGTATGAAACTTCTTTCTAGTAGTTATTCCTCATGAGCTATGTTTTCATGGAAGAAGTTGAGCAGAATGAACATTAGTGAATCATGATAGCAGCTTGTGTTTTAATTTTAACTTTCAAACTATGGTTTCTGTGATATATATACACCTTCATAGAACGATCTCTTTAGAATGGCCTTCCAGGAAGTGATGGTTCTTCCTTATGTTGAGCATTTTATTTATTCTTACTATATTGTGTGAATTATCTTAAGGATACACATCCTCATGGCTGAGGACACATAGTATGTCAAGTGGTTGTTGAATCAATCGTCATCTTTCAACTAGATGCAGTAATGTGTATGGAGAATAAAATTGACTTGAAGGTGCAGGGGATTAGCACTTACTAGTTAAATTTGCGATTTAGACGCACTTGATATCTCAATGACATCCTTTTAAGATCAAGCGAATATGAATTAGTCGTGAGTCATTACCTAGTTGGGCCTAAACCTTTAAAACTTGTCTTCGAGAACTCACACATTAAGATGATTGGTATTAGTTTATGACATTGGTCATGAACCAGTGGCTTATTATACTTAATCACATTAATGAGATGATGACACGATGGTTTGAGTAGGCCTTGTCGGGCCCACTCGCTTATGACATCCTGCTCTCATGTGAATGTGTAACTTTGTTCACAATGGGTGCGCACAAGTAGGAAAGCCGTAGAAGGTCATTTGTTTTGGCGCATTTAGTCCACTATAATATTTGTGACTAGATATGTGTAAGGGTATGATAGCTAAGCCTCAATCTCGACACATTTATAGATTACAATACACATCTGAATCAAGACTATTTGATCTCCCATAAGTCAAAAGTTTTGAGATGATTTTTGACATTGCACATATGAGGTTGAGATCAATTAGATAACAGCTTTCGTGCTTTTAGTTTTGACTAAGGTGGCGAGTATCTATTTGAGTTATTTTTTGAAAACTCTATGAAGAGATATGGATGCTTAGAAAATTGATTATTCCTTGTACTCAACAACACAATGGTGTAGTAGAGATAAGGAATTAAATATTGTTAATGTTAGGTGGATAATGGCACAAAATGTTTCCCAATTGGAAATTGCACTAGTTTGTTGCCTATATCCCTAACTAAGTGCCCTCGATATCAGATTTTACACTCCATTTTGAATAATAGATTAGCGGAGAGCCATCTATGGGCAATCTGTAACCGTTGAGCAGCTTATCTTTATTTTACTTCTCATAAGATTGCGAAGTTAAGACCTAGGGTTCTATAGCGCATTATTGTATGCTGTCTTGTAAACACAAAGGGTCGTATGGCGCATTATTGTATGCGGTCATGCAAACCCTCTGGGTCATGTGTATATGGGTAAGCAGCTTTGTGGTAGTGTAACTAAGTCACATAAAGTTTTATTAGTAAAGGTGACATGAATAGAGTTTTTGGAACTCTATAAGATAGAGAATTCTAAGCATAGCGCTCTATGTAGCCTAGTTGAGAATGAAAAGAAATTTCCAATATCCTAGGGACAGTGGGAGCGATGTGCCTACTAATGGATTACTCCATTAGAGAAGAATACTCTACATTCTTAGTTGCGTGGTAGCGAATGTGAAAATTTTCCACGTCATCACTGGGTGATTGAGAGGGAAACATTCATGATTGCTCCGCAAGATGATAAAGAGCCTAGGATAATGCCTAAGGCTCTAGTCCCCTATTTTTAGAAAGTGGATCAATGTTGCGTAGTTTAAGACAAAGTCTTTGAGGATTAACTATTTTTATAATTTGGTTGACTTTGCATTATGACGCAAAACTGTTATAAAGTTATGCATAATTTGGATAGTCATTGTTGAGGCATAAGGCTCGCTAGATACCGAAAGGTCGCTCCATTGAGGAAAGTGTAGACCATGAGAAGACTTCCTCCTGGGGAGTGAGGTTATTTTGACTTAGGCTATGATTAACATAAGTTCGGAACATTGATTTGTGGACATTGTGACCCAACTTTCTCGTTAGAGAATTGGATAAGTAGATCCGTAGGGATTTACCTTCTGCTTTAATGGTGAAAAGTTAGGAGCGCAAAAAGGTTGCTAGTTCCAATAAATCTTTTATAGCCTAAAACAGTTATCCAAATAGTGGTTCTTAGATTTCGTCAAACCATGATAGGCCAACGATGATCGATGAAGACCACTGAGGCATGATCAATGGTCCAAAAGAAGTTTTTCCTTAGTCATTATGAGCCAAGAATTTATAAGGTTGTCGCTACCTAGGGTGGGCAGTCCTCTATTTTAGATATGATGGAGATGGGTAATGTAATTTATATGCTCAGATGTACGATCCTTAGGGATTGCTTTGGGAGAATTCATGTTTTGTCTTCAATGACTTACATTAGGAATACCCTAGAATGATTCTAGATGCAAAATTGCAAACCCATTGACTTACCTATCGGTAAAAGTCAGAGCTTTAGCTATTGAGTGAATCCTCGGATTGTCTTTGGGAGAAACAGATGACCTATATTCCTTGATCTTTTCTTTGTTGTGGGAGCCTAAAGTACGCTATGTGGGCGTATTCGGCATGATAAGTGCTATCTTTGATAAATGGTTAACTGAGTTGTTCAGACTTTGACCTTGCTCATTAGACTGTGGATAAAATGCTTTATTAGAAGCATATTAATTTGCTCATTGTAAAATTCAATGCGCTGGTTGGGCGCATCTGCGCTAGTTGGGCGCATTAAGAATGAACGCAAATTGGTCACCAAAATAATTGATCACTTATTTTGAGATGATGGGATGTTTGACACTATTATGGTTTGTGTCATAATGATTAGCAGATGATGATGTCAGCAGGCAAGATTGGCTCACTCACACGAGCAATCGCCCTTGGCGCTTGGGAGCGAGCAAAGATGAGACTAGTGGTTTATTTTTATTTAGAGCCAAGAGAGGCTTAAATAATCCACTATGCATGTCGCCTTGGTTACAACCAAGATGAGGTGTTGTTAAGGACCAAACATGGATGTTAGTACCCACTTTCCATGTTGTGCCTGTTGTGATTAGCCAGATGCGAGATCTCATTTGGCGCTTGGACAGATGCGAGATCTCATTTGGCGCTTGGAAGGCGAGCAAATAGAGAATTCGGGTTAGGCGCTAGAAAGCGACTAGACTAATATCTGTACGCTGTATCGAGTATGACGTCACTCTTTATGGAAGAGTTACTCCACCGTAGCATGTATTCATACTATATGTGCTTGGCGACCGAGTAATGAGGTGAGAGAATGAATCCCTGTTTCCTCACCGTGTGAGTCTTACGTGTCATTATTGATATGACTCTCATTTATGTACCCTTGTGTGACTTTTGACTATGTCATAAGGTAACGGGTTGATGTTCTGCTCCTTTGGTATGTTGCCTGCGACCATGTATGATTCGGCCTTAAGGGACATTACTGGGAAAGTGGTCAATCCTAAACTAAATGGCATGAGGGCAAAGGGAAGATCATATAGTATTACACCACTGTTGTATATTCACTGCCGGCAACTCACATCGCTCTGTATGAGAGGCGAATTGAGTGTGAATATATTGCAAGAATTGAGAGGGTCAAACATGCTCTTTTTAAGGGATTAGAGATGTTTTTTGGACCGGTGTAATTAGATGAGTCTGGGGTATATGAGACGCTATTTCTGTTCTTTTTGGGTTGATGTCTCTATGCTGACTCATTTTGACTTTCTAGTACAGAGCTCCCACATGCAAGTGTTCTCAGCAGTCGCATAGTGCATTGGCTAGTATGAGATTGTTCTTTTTTGGGGAGATTGAGATAAGAGATGTGGCAGTGTCATGCTAACTCATGTGCGAGTGGGAGATGTTAGAAATTGGGCGCCCATGTGGCATGACCCTTTGAACCTGAACCTTTTGAACCTTATCCATATAAGTTTGAATTTGAATTCAAAACTTATTTGGATAACCATTCAAGATATCTATATCTATCATATCAATAGCTATGGATAGATGGATAGATTGATATATATGTGGTTATATATCAGATTATATGGTTAATCTATGAGATACGCATATCAGATATACGTTATGTGGTTTTTACCCATAACCATTTTTCCCATACCCTCTCTCTGACTCTCTCTCATAAAACAACGATCAAGTCATTTTGCACTGTGACTTGTGTGGGTGATACTCATTTTGTTGTATCACTCCACTGCTGGGTTCGTTGTTCAGATTTTGGAAGCACGTGATTAGATTGATATATATGTGGTTATATATCAGATTATATGGTTAATCTATGAGATGCGCATATCAGATATACGTTATTTGGTTTTTACCCATAACCATTTTTCCCATACCCTCTCTCTGACTCTCTCTCATAAAACAACGATCAAGTCATTTTGCACTGTGACTTGTGTGGGTGATACTCATTTTGTTGTATCACTCCACTGCTGGGTTCGTTGTTCAGATTTTGGAAGCAGGTGATTTACCCACGAGGTTCTTCGCTACAAGGTATGATTCTGATATTTTTTCCCGCTATAATATAATACTTTGATTTACAATTTTGGTAGTAAACTTTAATTTGGAAGTTGAATCTCAAACCATAAATTATAAAAAATAATAAATTTATTGGCATACCTCAACCGTACCGTTATCGTATTTTTTTAGGTTTGATGTATCCGCATACCCTTAACATATCCGTACTAGTATCCGTACTTGCACCCGTGCTTTGTAGGTTGCAAGTGAATGTTTGTACCTTGTGTGCTAATTAATCCCTTCTATCCTAAAATCAGATTTTGTGCGATTCAGGCAGGATGTACCATCAAAACACAATGCCAAGTTCAGTATGTGGTACAGAACCCAGATTACATTTGTGAAAAGGAAGACAAAGTTAGCAGGAAAAAAAGGCGGCGCTGGCATATATACCTCAATGAGATTGACTATGTTGCATCTGATTTTGTTATCCTCTCAAGTAATATGACATAGCTATAGATACTCAAAATCTTGTTACAATTTTAGTCAGACAAACGTTACGAACTTTAAAAATAAAAATATAAAATACTTTGAATCACTCTGCAGGTGGAGTGTTTGGCACGACTGAGATACTATTCCAGTCTCAAATGAGAGGACAGAAACTTTCTGAGAGACTTGGATCAGATTTTAGTTGTAATGGTAACACTGTCGCTTATCTTGCTGGTAGCCCTGCACCATTGGGTGCTTATGCTTTGGACAAAAAGCAATTCACAAAGATACCTTTTCAGGAAAGGCCAAGCCCATCCATTTCTTCATCATACACCTCTTCGTTGGGATTCACAATTCAGGTTGAAGTTTTATGTTCATATATATAGGAGTTCTTCTTCCATGTCTCATTTGTGTTTATGATTATTGTCAAAATTGATACATGTGGTACCATTTGGCGCAGAGTGCAGTACTTCCAGTGGCATATCCTTACCTTCTATTTAAAGGGATCTTTACTTATGGATGACCTTCTGGCTATTGGTTCCTATATGGTATTATAGACACGCTAAAACATGTGTTAGGAATGAAATATAGCAATGCAATGGTTTTCAATGCAATGGGATATGATGAGAGTGATGGAAAAATAACATTTGACAATGACACTAACAGAATCTGCTTTCAGCCACCCCTTGATCATTTACTACCAAGGAAAATTGGGGTGTTTCAAAAACTTACAAAGAAATTGGGAGGAATATTGTTCATGTCAAGGTATCGGAACGCATCAGTTCATCTTTTAGGGGGTTGCAATGCATCATCAGACCCTTCACAAGGAGTTTGTAACCCCAATGGTCAAGTATTTGACACAAAGTCTCATAACTTAGTGCACCCCGGCCTCTATGTTTGTGATGCCTCCTTAATACCTTGCTCTCTCGGCATAAATCCATGTCTAAGTATTGCCACAGTGGCTGAGCATTTAAGTAGGAACCTTGTGTCAGATGTTCTCAAGCACAAAAGCGACAAAGGTATGGTTTTGGTAAATAACTTGGGTGATCCAAAGCCAGGCTCAATTACTAGTGTGAAGCTAGATAGCGATCGAAAATCAATGGTTGTCATTAAAGAAACCATGAGAGGCTATGTGGGCGGTATGCCATGTGTAGCTTATCTCAAGATGAAAATGAACTCTAGAACTTGGAAGTAATCGGATATAAAGAGTAAACTTATCGGATTATCTCATCCTCTGCTAAGGGGTAAAATTGGAGGATATGTTTTATTTAGTGCTTTGGAGTCTGATAAATTACATATTGTAGATGGGGAAGTAGATTTGTGTGAAGTTGGTGAAAGAACTCCGTATGCGTAATATATGCACTATACTCTCCTTCTTGCTGCTTCTTCTGGTTCAAGGTCTGATATGATCTAAACTAGAAATTTATCTTCATTCTGACATTATTTTTTATGGTATTTGTTTTTCACATAATAGAAAGTATTTTTCATACAGATACATTCTTGAAGGGAAGAAGATAATGAATCCTTATCTCTTTGGATCAACTGCATGGAGGGAGACAACGACAATGAATGTGACATTCAATAAAGTCTGAATGGACAATTCCAAGGAAGATATGCTGAACTTGAAAGGGAAGCTTAGTATTTCCATGATAGAGCTCCTGAAGTGCTTGATAAGCCTAGAAAGGAACATGAGAAGAAGGTTTGTTGGTGTGCTATTACAGAATCTTTTCAAAACCTACATTTTGCAGGTGCCACGAGGGAGTCACAAGGAATTTAATTCTTCAGAATTACACCAAAAACCTTATCAAGACAGTATTCTCCATGAGATACAAACAGGTAGTCAGAAGTATACAATTCATAGATTCGTAACTTGCAAGTTCGTTTGTTCTCTAAATTGTTCCGACTCAATCCAATACTGTCTTGAACCAATACTCTTGGATAACTACAACCGAAATTGTAATATGTCCTAAAGCACCTTATGGACTATATCACTACTCTTTTTCTATTTTTATTTTTTATTTATTTACTCTTTTTTACCTTTGGTACCAGAGTTCTCAACGTACTATTGCTTCTTTGGTAATTGAACAGAAGATGGGTTTATCATCAGTTGCAAGCAATGGAAAGGAGAGAAGAAACTAAATCCAATTCTCCTAATTAATGGTCATTCCACTGAGAATTATTGGCTACCAACAGAACCAAGTGATTTGGTTAGAACTCTACTAGAAGAAGGGCATGAAACATGGCGGCTGCAACCAAGATTACACCCTTTGAATCCTTCAAACAATTTCACCATTGAAGACATTGGTAGATTTGATATACTTGCTGGTAAACAAAAAAAATAAAAAATAAAATTCTATATAAAAAATGTAGTTACTTACCAACTCAACTGGCCTATTTTTAACTCTTATTTTTATTTTTGTAGTGATCAATAAAATTCGTGATTTGCACGGGCCATTGATAAAAATACATGTGGTTGCACATTGTGTTGGAGGCTTAGCAATTCATGTAGCTCTTATGGGAGGCCATGCCTCTGCAGCCCATATAGCTTCTCTGTCTTGCACCAACTCTTCGATGTTCTTCAAACTCACCACTTCATCCAGAGTCAAAATGTGGCTTCCCCTCATCCCGCTAAGCTTTACCTCTTCATAATTCTCACAAAATATGATTGGAAGTTATTTTCCATAAAAGATAATTCGAATATGGTGAACTAATTAAAATGTACAATTGGTAGAAATCGGAAAGTGGCTCGTGTTTGAATATGGAAGCATTATGTTCTCGTTCTTGAATCATTTGGAATTTCTCAACATTCAGATATTCATCATTTAGTGACTTATATAGCAGAAATTCAAGTAATAGTAAAACGATGGTTATATAATTTTGGTTTTTTTTTTTTTTTTTTTTTTGATTGGCAAAAACAAAATCTTTATTGATGAAACATACAAAGTGTGGAATATTACATCAATAAAGAGGAGCTTGGAGTTAAGAAAAAGCTCCAAGTGCCAGTTGGTGAAGAACCAACAAAAGAGAGCAAGAGAAAAGACAAACAAACTAGTCCACAACTTGGAGCTAAAAAGCCAAACTGATAAATAAACTGGTAGGAGCCAAAACTAATAGTAACAACCAAACTGATGGTAAAACTGATGAGCACTAACTTTTCCCCACTTTGACAAGCTTTGCTTACATTATACAACTGAAACATTGGAGCCACAGCAGAAGTCGACCACCATAATAGAGATAGACAGAACAATCAAGCATCATTCCCATAACTAAGCAGAACCTCCATAGTAGACCAAAATTCAAACACAGATAGGAAATCTCCCACACTACTCACCAGATCAACGCAGCACATACCAATTAGGCACCATAGCAGAACAACATACACCAACAGAGCAATACAGCAACCACAATAACAGAAACAGCACACAACACTAGAATCCATCACACCATAACTACCCAGCAGACCAATCAGCACTATGTAAGTGTAGCAGACCCTCCCAAGCACTTCCTGATTTGCCTCAAATTAAACACAAAATCCTGAACTGAAAAATTAAAGTCATTGAAAACTGGTTTTAACCAAAATGCAATCCTATATTTAATCAAGTCACATAGATCCACAAGATTTGGGAGAGTTTCTCTAAACACACATTCATTCCTGCACTTCCAAACAGACCACCACACAGCCAATGGAATCACCCTCCAAATCTTCATTTCTTTCTTCTTTAACTTTCCCCCTGCCCACCACAGCAGTAGACTCTTCACAGATCCTGGAATAGCAGCTTGGACATCCTACCAATCCAGCATTTCAGCCCAAACCATCCACACAAAGGGACACCAAATTAATACATGATGCACTGATTCACTGCCACTGCCACAAAACACACAAGCTATGGAAGCACTTGGGTTGATCACCCCAACTTTTTGCAGAAATTCCTTGGACTTAATTCTTTTTTTCCATGCAAACCAAACAAAAACCTGCACCTTAGGAGGGATGTACTTAAGCCAAATCAATTTCGTAATACTCATGATGGCACCTGTATTATCCATACCCCACCTATATAAATCTGCTACTGTTAGTACCCCAGCAGATGATGCTAACCATGTAGGCCGATCAACGCACTTTGGACACACTGCAGGAGCCCCCAGCAGATAATCAAGAAGTCTAGCCAGCTCCTGTTTCTCCCACTCATATAACCCCCTTCTAAACTCAAAGGACCAGCCACCCACTATACTTTTCTTATCAGCCAAAATTCTTAAGGATTCCGTTTTATCCAAAGACAACCTATATAAGATTGGAAATTCACCCTTCAAACAAACAGACTGACACCAAGTATCATATCAAAATCTAATCCTCCTCCCATCTCCAACCTTCAACTTAAAATTATTCAAGTAAAACTCCTTGAGGTTACTACACTATTCAGCTACAAAAATAATCCCTTTCCATACTGCCGAGTGGCTGCTAGATGAAATTAGAGTTGGAATCCAACCATCAATCTCCATCTTATATCTGCTACAAATTACTCTCTTCCACAAAGCATCATTTTCACTACCAAACCTCCACCACCATTTAATTAACAAACACTTGTTCACATCCCATATTTTCCTGATACCCAAACCACCTTTCTCCACTATTTTAGACAAGTCCTCTCACTTGATCATATGGACTTTCTTTACCAGTTCAGACCCACCCCATAAGAATGTGGCTTGAATCTTCTCCAACTCTCTAGCTACCCCTTCAGGCATCTTAAACAAAGATAAGTAGTACACTGGCAATGCTGAAGTTACCGACTTGACAAGTGTTAACCTCCCTGCGAAGGACAACAACTTTCTCTTCCAACCAACCAGTTTGCTTTTGATTTTATCCACATCTGGTTTCCATGTAGCTTTCTTCCTTGTATTAGCTCCTAATGGCATCCCAAGATACTTTAGAGGTAATGACTTAGTTTTACAGTTCAACACTGCAGCAAAAGCATCTAACATCTCCTTAGAAACACCCACACCGCATACAACACTCTTATGGAAGCTTATTTTCAGGCCCAACATAATTTCAAAGAACCTTAGCACCCTTTTCAACTTCCTCACTTCATCCACCTCAGCTTTACAGAATAATAATGAATTGTCTGCAAACTGGAGATAAGTTAACAACACACCATCATGGCCTACCTTAACACCTTTAATTAGATCTAATTGAGAGGCTCTACTCAACAACATATGTAGACCTTCAGCCTCAAGATTAAACAGAAACGGGGACAGAGGATCCCCTTTGTCTTAGACCTCTTTGTGGGCTGAATTCTTCTGTAGGAGTTCCATTAACAAGCACTGAGAGCCTTGCAGTAGTTACGCACTCCTTAATCCACTTGATCCACTTAACACCAAACCCAAAATTAGAGAACATTGAAAACAGATAACCCCAATTAATAGAATCATATGCCTTCTCAAAGTCCAACTGAATAAGTACCCCCTTCTCTTTGGCTTTCTTCCATCCGTCAACAACCTCATTAGTTATTAACACCCCATCTAGAATATTTCTACCATTCAAGAACACAGACTGAGACTCACTTATGATATAAGGCATTACAGATTTTAGTCTATTAGCCAACAATTTTGCTATGATCTTGTATATAGAGCCCACCAAGCTTATAGGTCTATAATCAGATAGCCCTATTGGATTCTCCTTCGTGGGTATAAGGGTTATGAAAGAACTATTTATACCCTTGACCAACTTACTATTGTTTTGAAATTCTTTCACAAAATTAACCACATCACCCTTCATGACTTTCCAAAACTTCTGATAACACATCAAGTTAAAACCATCAGGTCCTAGTGCCTTATTCCCATCACAATCCATCACTGCTGATTTAATTTATCCTACTGAAAAATCTGATTCTAACCATCCAGACCTCACCCTGCCTTCTATTGATGGGAAAAAACCCCCCAACACAGGTCTTGATGACCGATGCTCTGTGTACTGATTTCTAAAGTGTTCAAACACCTTATACTTCACTTAACACGGATCTTCAACCACTACCTCCCCATCTATTATAGAGTTTATATCATTTCTAACTATTCTGCATTTTGCAACTACATGAAAATATCTTGTATTTTTATCCCCTTTCATTGCCCAATTAAGTCTTGACTTTTGCAGCCATAACCGTTCAACCATCCTACTCCACCTCCACATCTCAGTTCTAACTTCACTTCTCCTAACTTTTTCAGCACCATCGAGGTCTCTACCCTCAACCAGAATATCAAAACAGTGAAGTTCACCCTCTGCTGCCTTTAATTTGTTTTGTACATTACCAAAAACCTCCACATTCAAACTTCTAAGGCCACTTTTCAATATCTTCAATTTTTGAAGCAGTAAAAACCCAGCCCAGCCTACTACACTGGACTCTTTCCAGTTCGACTCCCAGAACCTCTGAAAATCTTTGGGTAAGAACCAAGCATTTAATACCCTAAAGGGTTTTGGGCCACAGTCCCTCTTATCCTCCATCAAAAGAAGAGGACAGTGATCAGAGACCAATCTAGAAAGATCTCACAGCTTAAAATTAAGCACCTCAAGCCACTTTGGGTCTACAAGAATTCTATCTATTTTGCTCCACTTCTCACCAGTACATGAATTACACCAAGTGAACCTCCTTCCAAGTAATGGTAAATCAGATACCTCACACTTATCAATAAACTCATTAAATTCTTTCATATCTCTATCTCTCCTCGAACACCCTTTCTTTTCCCAATCTGCCTAATCTCATTAAAATCCCCTCCTAAACACCATGGATTAAGAAATTCCTCCTTCAGCTTCAACAAACAATTCCATAGATTCCCTCTAGAGCCCACATCATTAGGTGCATAAATGTTTAGAATAGCACAATCAAATTGGTTAAAGAGAGTACCTGATAATAATATAAACCTTCTATTGGTGCAGCAATCCTTAACTTGGAATATGTCTGGATCCCAAATACACAATAAACCCCTTGCAGAGCCTACAACATCCACCACCATATACTCCATTTTGCCCCTTACCCACACTGATCTGACTTCCTCCTCTATTAATTCTGATTTCTTTGTCTCTTGAAACAAAGAAATATTTACTTTTCTCTCCTTCACAAGCTTCTTAATCTTGCTTCTCTTTTCCTTCCTCCCATCCCCCTAATATTCCATGATAAGATCTTCATAAGAAAACCACTGTTTCTCCTATTTTCCCCCCAGCTGGTATACCCTACTCCCCAACTCTCACCGCCCCTTCAATACGTTCCATTTCCTTCAATTCAAGGTCTACTATTTTCTCCAACACTTCAGCCCTCTTCCCATTCAGCTTCACCCCGAGGAGTTCCCCCAATTTCAAAGCTGCTTCAGCCTCATTAAGGACGACCCTCCCTTTATCCACTCCACCCTCAATCGATGCAAATAAAGACATTGCCGCCACTGCCGCTCGCCAGGCTGCAGCCTTGGGTCGTGCCGAACTTGTTGCCGCACCTCTGCTCTCATATTTTCTCTTTAATTCAGCCGACCTTCTTTGTAGCAAATTCGGATTATATTTCTTTATGCTGTTAATCCTTTCTTTCCCTTTTCTATTCCTTCTTTGACTACAACTGGGCTCCTTCTCATGGGCTTCAGATAAACTTGAAACTCTCCCAATTGGCCCTACTTCTTTTGGCTTACCACTAACAGATTTTCCTTGCTGCCCCAGTCCAATCTGTGGTTTACAAAGCCCAATCCCCTTATTTGGTGTGTTAGTCTGGCCTAAAATTACTTCAATATTCACCCCAAGCCTTTCTAAACTTGTTCTGTCTAAACTTCTAACATAACCTTGCATACAGACCAGGTTATCCATACTCTGACTAACTACCGTCTCCTCAATTGAGCCGTTCCTCTGGTTCCGCACTTCCATCATTATGTTGCAGACCTTAGCACTCATTTCGTTCTCCCCATCACATCGACCAGCTTTAGCTTCCTCTGTACTCCTCCGGGATGCCATGTCATCCACCTCATCACTCTAATTTCCACCAACTGGCCTATCTTCCTGAGCCACATCATATCCATCCTCCATATCAGCAGCTAAATCATCCTCCACATCAGCATCTTCATCTTCATCCTTCCTGAATTTCTGACCCACACTATGATCGTCCACCACATTTGAACTGCCGATCTCAACCACATCTTGAATCTTATGACATTTGCAAGAACATTTTCCTGTTTTCACCGTGATCACCTACTCTTCACAAACTCTCACTGGAAACACCCTCCCACTACATTCCAGATTTACAACTGAGTTTATAGGTTCCATGCTTTTGGTGGAAACCTTAACCTTTGCACACACAAATGACAGTGATTGGCTCATATCACCTTCAAAACATAAGACTTGCCCCCACACCCCACCAATCCTTCTTATGTTGGAACTATTCCACAGGTGCAATGGGATGCCATAGCAACTGAGCCATACATTTCTTTCCTGTTCCAAAACCTACCCTAGTTTTCCTTCAACAATATCTACACACCAATCTAAAAGCTGGTAATTTCATTGCCCTCTCCTCCTTTGATCTGAATGTTATAACAACATCTCTTCCCCCACTATCTCTTACCATTACATCCTCCCTTCCTATTGCTGCTAGCTCTTTTTTCAAACTAACATTAGCATATTGTACCTTCAATCTGATTATTATGCTCTCAAACAACCATCCATTCCCTACCTCTTCTGCCTTCACCAAAATACACCCTACTCCTTCATCTATTTTCCTGCCACCGCGTCAACATATGATCTTCTATCTCTAAGACCACTTAACCCGGTTATAACATCTCCACCTTTAGCAGCATAGATTATTGGTCTCCGTACTTGTACTTAATGGCATTCTTTCAGCTTCACCCCTAGCATTGTCCTTCCCAAACTCTGCAGGTTTTACCTGTAATGATCGATCGTCCACCCATAAACATTTGGCGTTCTGGACAGCTATATTAGCTGCCACAGAGCAACCAAACCTCACAAAACCAAACCTTGTGTTAGTCACTCTGCGTCTTTTTTGCGGTATAAAAACATCTTTTACCACTCTAAACTTTGTGAATAGATTGAACAGGCCTTTTGGGTTTAATGATACTGGTAAGTTATCCACAAACACAGTAAATACACCTGCACTCCCTTCCGTCCTCCAAGGTCCTGGTCTGCCCCTATCCCTTACTACTGGAATCCACCCTCCTTGCTGAGCTCCTCTCATGGCTTCTTAAGATTTAATTTTTTATAAGTTTCAATTGATAAGAGTGGTTCTCACTGTCAAACCTATTCATATCTCTTCTTATAATTTTGGTTCTTTAATATAAAAAAAATAAATTAGACGTCGAGGCTTCACGCCTTCACAAACTGTAAATGGGGGTACCCATTACTCTTGAGGCTAATCAAGGTAGGCCTACAAAGATCATAGTTTTGACACCATTTTATATATGTTTTAGGTCTGCATTCTTTTATAACTCCAATCCAATCATATTGCAGATGTTGATGGTCATACTAGGGAAGAACAAGATCCTCCCTTTGTTCAAGACATCAAAGGCAAGTTAACGACAAAAGCTCCTAAAATATATTGCTCGTTTGGTGCCACGTTACGAGAGATGCACCTGGGATGAATGTGAGGTCTTTTCTGGGATATTTGGTAACACATTTTGGCACGACAACATAAGCCCCTCCATTCACTATTGGTTAAACAAACAGAGCTTACCAAGGCTTCCAATGGCTGGATTTCCTCACCTCAGAAAGATTTGCAATGCTGGTTTCATTGTGGACAGCAGTGGTAAAAACTCATACTTGATACATCCCGAAAGAATGGCGCTCCCTACGCTTTATATATCCGGTGGGAGGACTCTCCTTGTGACTCCCCAAACTACTCTTCTTGCAACTAACTACATGAAGCTTCACCAGTCCGGTTTTAGACATGAAACGGTGGTTGTGGATGGCTTTGGTCATTCGGATTTATTGATTGGGGAAGAGTCCTATAAAAAGGTTTTTCCTCACATTCTATCCCATATTAGATTAGCTGAAGAAGAAAAAAATTGTTTTCTGGGCAGTGAGAAAAGAAAGTACAATAAAGAGGCCTTAGCATGGGGTGGTGATCCATTACAAGAAGGAAATGGAGGACTTTGGAGCTATATTTCTCCTTTTGTTGCCACCTGGTTGCTCTTCGTGTTGTTATTGTTAGCCATGGTAGTTTACTTTTTTCATTAAAATCTTGCTTGGTTGCTAAGAAAACACTAGAAGGAAAAGGAATCAACAAAAAGAATAAAATTCATCAAACTGTAAAATCCTACAATTGCTTAACTAATTGTGACGTTGTTGATGATTGAATGCAACTCGAATCTTAACCGCAGAGTTTGAATAAAACTTTATACCCAATATGCAAACACTAAAAAAACTCGATGGTATGTTAGAATATATAGCTAAAATATGAAGCATTTGAAAAATAAGATAAAAATGAAATTGAAGATCATTATCAGGAATGAATTTGAAGATAATTATTAGATTAAAGATTAAAATAAATTTTAAAAAGGGATCATATGAACAGTATAATAAAAATAAAGTTGGAGATAATGATGGGATTGGGGATTTAAAAACAAAAAAAAGGAAGAAATAAGAAATAAAGATAAATGAAGATACAGGGGAAGATTATGCAAAATAAAAATAAAATAAAAAGAGATAAGGAGTCTTAGATAATAAAAAGATTTTAAAAGTTAAAAATTTAAAATAAAACAACATTATGAGAAAAAAATGTTTTTTTATTGGAGAAAAATAAGGACGAAGAAAAATTCAAAACATAACTTTAAGAGTGTGACATGTAGGAAAAAGAATATCAATTGTTTGAGAATTGAGTATTGAGACTTTGAAAATTTTAGAGTACATAATATATTTCCTTATATATAGTATAGATATAGATATATAAGTAAAAAGATAGATATCAAATCTAATTTGAAAAAAATAAATATAAAATAAACATCCTAAAAAAAAAGAAGAGAGAAATGTGGGAATTCGGTCATTAATAATCAAAATTTTTAAAAAGATAAGATATTTATGAGAGATTATGTATGAGTAGAAGATAATTTAATTTTTGTTATATCAAAATAAAGGAATATATATTTTCTTGAATAGTAGCAAAATAAATTTACATTTTTAATAAAGTTGTAATAGAATAAAATATATTTAATTTTCAAATTGTTTGCTTGATGATGATTTTTTATTTTTATTTTTTAAAAATACATTGATAGAAAATTTTAAAATTGATGGTATTCAATTGTTATCATTATAGCCTATGAAAAGAATTTAATAGTGGTCAATCATTGAGCAATAAAAAATTAACACTTAGCAACTTAAATTTTGTAAAAATTAAAAAAAAAATGGAAAATTTAGAATAATGTATTGGAATTCCTCAAATCATATAGTTAGATATTTTAGTTAATTTTAAAATTTAAAATTTAAACCCAGTAATATAATGAATGTGTAATAATTCAAAACTTAGATAATACACTAATAGATTTGAGCCACTTTTTTTTTTTCTTTCTAATATTGTTTAAAAAAAAAATTCCAAATTTTAAATTAGATATGTTTAGATAAAATTTAAAGATTTTAAAATTTTAAAATTAAATATTGTTAGATGTACCAATCACTTTAAGCCAAATATAATTTTGTTTTCAAAAATTTTAAAAAATTTTAAGATTGAGAAATTG